GATTCAAGTGGTTGATTAACATGCCTTGACGATGATGGAGACCTTGTGACTTTAGATTCCCACAAATTTTATCTTGAGCTCTTGATTGAACCTTGAAAATGGAGTTCTTCTCTTGATTGCTGGATAAGATACCTTGATCCCATATATAAGATCAATGTTATGTACAGATGCTAATGCAAAATGGTATGAAACATAAGACAAGATAAAAGAAAAAGGATGGACAAATTTTGGGGTGCTACACATTGTTTAACATAACATGGTCAAATTTTTGGTGACATTGTTTGGGTGCTTGTTTAAACCCATATAAAGACTTGGTTAATTTACACACTTTATGTTCTTGACCTTTGATGACAAATCCTTCAGGTTGTTTCATATACACCTCTTCATCTAACTCTCCATTTAGAAAACCAATTTTAACATCCATTTGATGGATTACAAGATTATAGATGAAATCAAGTGCCAAAAGCACTCTAATTGATGCAATTTTGGCAACAGGTGCATACATATCAAAGTAATCAATACCTTCTTTTTGTGTATACCCTTTAGCGACAAGTCTAGCTTTGAATTTTTCAATGGTACCATCGAATTTCATTTTTCTTTTAAAGATCCATTTACAACCTATTAGTTTTGATCCTGGTGGGAGATCTACTAGTTTTCAGGTTTTATTACCCATATCTGAATCCATTTATTCTTGGATAGCTTCTTTCTGAAAGGCAGAATCTTGAGATTTTATTATCTCTTCAAATGTTTCTGGATCATTCTCTAGATTATAGCAAATTGGTCCATAACGATTTATGAATCCTTATTTCCTTCTACAAGGAACATGAAGAATTCTGATCCATAGTTTTTCACTTTCTGGATTTTTTTACTTCTTCTATGTTCTGAACATGCCAACATATCATTATTAGATACATTACTTTCTAGAATTTGAACATCATAATGAGCATTGTCTTTGGAATTTTGAATTGAGGTAAATCTACTTTCTTAAAAAATTACATCTCTTGACTCAATCACAACATTAATAGGATATGAATCATTGGATTCAATAACGATGAATATATATATATATTTTGCTATTTTCAGCATATCCCAGAAATACACATTCAATTCCTTTCTCCCAATTTCTTTCTTTTTGGTTCAGGCACCTTTACAATTGCTCTACAACCCCAAACTTTTAAATAATTAAGATTGTGTTTTCTTTTCTTCCAGAGTTCATATGGGGTTATCTTGTTCCTTTTATTAAGAACTTTATTCAATATATAACATGCAATTAGCATGGCTTCACCTCAATATCCTTTAGATAAACCAGAATAGGATAACATGACATTTATCATTTCTTCCAACACCCTATTTTTCCTTTCTGTTATCCCATTTTGTTGTGGAGAATATGGTGCAGTTATTTGATGCACAATACCAGTGGACTCAAAATAATTAGGATGATAGAACTCCCCTTTCCTATCACTTCTAAAACATTTAATGAAAGTCTCATGTTGAAGCTCTACTTGTACTTTAAATATTTTAAATTTGTCTAAGACTTCATCCTTAGAATGCATTAAATAAACATAACAAAATCTAGTGCAATCATCAACGAAAGTGACAAAGTACTTTTTACCATAAATGGTGGGCCAACCATGTAAATCACACACATCCGAATGAATTAAATCTAACACCTTAGAACTTGCTTCAATTCCTTTAAAAGGTTTTCTTGTGATTTTAGTTAACATGCAAGTAGTACATGAATTTGAATTTTTGTCAAGAGTCGGAATTAAATTTGATTTTATCATATCATTTAATTTTCTAAAGTTAACATGTCCTAGTCGCATATGCCATAAATCACAATACTCAACAATATAAGCAGAAATCACATTATTATTATTATTATTATTATTATTATTATTATTATTATTATTATTATTATTATTATTATTATTATTATTATTATTATTATTATTATTATTATTATTATTATTATTATTATTATTATAATTATTATTATTATTATTATTAACAACATTACACATGAACATATTCTCACAAAGATAACTCTTCCCTACAAACATACCTCATTTGGATAGAATAAATTTATCTCCCTCAAATACATATTTGAAATCATACTTATTAAGTAAAGGTATAGAAATCAAGTTCTTCCTAACTTTCGGAACATAAAGAACATCTTGAAGAGTGAGTAGTGTTTTAGAAGTGAATTCAATCTTGACTGATCCTTTTCCTTTGACTTGAACAATAGAGGCATTTCCCATGTACAAAACATTACCATTTTCTTCATTGATGGTCTTGAATAATTTTTTATTTTTGCACACATGACGGGTAGCACTAGAGTCTATCCACCAAGAATCAACATCTTTTATCATGTTGATTTCAGAAATGACAGCAACAAGATTGTCTTTTGTTGCACTTGAATTCTTGCTTTTGTTCTCTATTTTCAACAACCTACACTCATTTTTAAAGTGTCCTGATTTTCCATAATGATAGAAATTTCTTTCTTTTTCTTTCTATTGTTATTATTGCTATTAACATTATAATTTTCATAAGATTTTCCAAAATCTCGTTTTCTTTTCTTGGAAGTTTTACTTGAATTTCCTTCTTCCATTATATGCACCTTCTCATGAGCAATTTGATTTTTAGTATCATCATGTTTACGTTACTCTTCTTCTAAACGAAGGTGATTACCTAATTGCTCAAGAGATATGTCTTCTTTCTTATGTTTCAAAGATTTTTTAAAATCTTTCCATGATGGAGGAAGTTTATCTATTATGAAAGATACAATTATTGTTTCATCCATATGCATATCATGTTGTTTGTAGTTATTGTGAATACGTTTGATTTCATACATTTGTTCCATTACAGGTCTATTATGTACCATTTTATAATTATTGAAATGAGAAACAAGAAACTTCTTACTTGTAGCGTCTTCTTGCATGTATCTTGATTCTAGTTTTTCCCACCGTTCCTTTGCAGAATTACTTCTTTGATAGATATCAAATAAAGAGTTTGACATATCGTTGAGAAAATGACTCATGCAAATGTAATCATCATAGTCCCATTTTTGCCTTTCTCTCGTTTCAGCAATAGTTTCTTCTTTCCTCTCTAATGGTTTTATAGTGTTCAGAACATACACCACTTTCAATGTTGTAAGTAGAAACTTCATCTTTTTCCGCCAACGGATAAAGTTGCCTCCATCAAACTTTTCCAATTTCACAAAATTGAATGTCATTTTTTTGAGTGATGCTGTCATTGATAAGTAAAATTATTGAACCTAAAGATCGTTGGATATTATGTAGCAACACTTGAACAAAGAAGGCGTTGATGAAAATTACGCTTGAAAAATCAAAGCGTGTGAATTTCACACTAACCTTTAGGTCCATGCGCCTTTTCATTTAAGGGTCGCATGTTTAAACCATGCATCTGTTCATTTTGAATCAATTCAAAAAAATGCTTTGGCCAAGTATAGAACCACTAACCTTAAAGCACTTAGTTGTATATTTGTTCAATAGCAATTTATATATATTATAAATAAACTAGCGTTCAGACGGGCACTCGCGTGCCGTCTGTCCGCTTTTTTAATGCGCATTAATGAAAATATAAACGATACTTTTTGTTTAAATATAATATGTGAAAGTTAATAATAAGAAATTATATGAAAATTAATAATAAAAAATTGTTAATTAAATAATAAAATAAGAATAAAAATTGTATAAAAATAAGTCACACCAAAACAAAGTATTCCTTTATATTATTGTATAGATATTCAATAATATTTTGAAAATCACTTACAATCACTCTCCAAAATACCTTTTTTAATCAAATTAACTCAGTTTGAGGCCTATTTTGGAGAAGTCTCCAAACCAACACTGCAACTTTAGATGGAACATAGTCGTTCCAAGCGACAAAAAGTTTTGTACCTGCAATTCAATCTGTTCCATTTATTATAAGCCTATAAGTATCTCTAATAGAAAACCTGTTTTTATACAAGACCCAACTATCCTCCTCGTTGGGTGTCAGCTTAGTTTTCTTGATATGCTCTTTAAGAGTCTCTGCTTTAACCCTTTCTCCGGTAGACAAAGATCTCCTCCGTATGAGAATATCGTTACGGTTCGTCTCTTCTTCAAGGACAGCCTCCTGTGTGTTTTAAATTTATTTTGTGCTATGCAGAAGAGGTCTGGTAGACTATTTTTGAGACGTTTCCTTTCATGCCAAGGGTCTAACCAAAGAAAAGTGTTTTCCCCGTGACCGACCTTTCTAACTAGATTTACGAGAACCAATCGACCTTAAAGCCCCAAATACCTTTCTCAACACTCTATAGATCTCTCCACCACATTGACCTTTTACTCGCATTCAAATTTAACCTTACAAACGGATCACCATATTTGCTAGTTAACACCTTTGCCCAAAGACTTTCCCTTTCATCTCTCATACGCCAGAGCCATTTTCCTAGTAAAGCTAAACTAAAAGCTTTTAGGTTTTTGATTCCTAAACCATCCTCCTCCTTTTTTTTACATATTTTATCTCGTTGAACCCAATTAATTTTTCCAATTTTCACTCTCTTTTATTTTTATTATTGCATTGATATTTATCCCACCCGTCCTCATTTTCTCTACATATTTTATCCCATTAAACTCAAATAATTTTCCCAATTTTCACTCCCCTTTCTTTTTATTATTGCAATGATATTTATCCCACCCCTTTGTCTTGCATTCAAAATTAAAAAAAAAAAAAAAAAAACATGTTCCGTTGAAAACAAATGTGGGCGTATCATAGAGAAATAATATAGAAAAAACATTCAATTTCTCTTCTCAACCAAACATACCCTTTAAATGTTAATTGAGTATCAGATAGTTTAATATAATATACTACTATCATTCACAATTCTAGAAATCCAAAATAACATAACTATTATCTTTTGAATTAATGTCAAAAATCCCCCTAGGATATAAAGAAAAATGGTTACAAACTTTATGAAAAATGGCTTACCTATAACAACTCTATCCACGGGAAAGATCCTCTGTCGAAGCAACTAAAACAGTGGAGTTCAAATCAGCAATGGTTTGAGTTGAACCTCTAGACTGCAGCCATGACTTGGCATCTTGGCTTGTAGTAAAAAACCAGCCATCCATTTCAGTAGCCTTATGGAAAGGAGCACTAAGTTCCTTCAGATATGATTCAAATATACTAGCCAAGTCTTTCTCTGATCGCCCTTGTCTCCAAGGGACAGTACAAATTCCAAGTAATTGTGGAAGTTCCTCGCCCGATTCAAAAGCCTTAGACAAGTCGTCAATCCAAACATGAAATGCAGTCATAGCAGCTCCAACTGAGAGTTTTTTTAGGTGCAAACACCACTGAGTTTCAGATCTCGATTGTATATCGCTATATATCTTAAGCGTCAATCCCAAGTCAAGAATGTCGCGAGCTCTGTCTTGCACACCAAGGTTGAAACAAAGATCGAGTAGACTGTGGCATAAGGACTTCTTTACATCATCAGCAGTTGAACTTAAAAGTTCTGATGCTTCCTTTATAAAATATCCATCATCCTCGCTCCCTTCCGTCAAACATGTCACAATATAACCAAGCTTTGGGTTAGCTTTCTCGATGCAGTTTGTTATCTCACCGAGCTCTTCTTTTGGTAGTTCGGCCATCACACTCAAAAGACAATCCCACAGTCGGTCGTCGGGAGTGATGCCTGTTTCCCAGATTTGATTAAATATATTCACAACATCATCGGTTCGTTTGGCCTTTCCGTAGCAATGAACAAACATTGTGAAAATCAAAATATTAGGCTTCAATCCATGGCTTATCATTTCATTCAACATGGCTTCCGCCTCTGAAACTTTCCCAAGGCATGAATACATGTTAATCAAGGATGAGTATGCGATAAGGTCGGGCTTGCAAGTCTCAGATTGTTTCATATCTTCAAATATTTCAACAGCTACATCTACATAGCCAACATCAGCACACATGTCAAGAAGCATGCCGTAAAGAACATTATTCATAGACATCCCCTGTTTCTTCATTTCCTTATACACACTCAAAGCTTCTTTACTTAGCCGTCCTCTCGAATAAGCTTCCAAGAGAGCTGAATAGGTTGCCCAATTCGGCGAAATTCCATTATTTTCCATCTCTTGGTATACACCCTTAGCAATGTTTGCCCTTTTAGCTCTTGCCATTGCATATAGCAAAGTATTATACGTCGTCACATTCGGCCTAACACCAAGAGCCTTCATATCATTATAAACACTCAAACATCCATCATAGTTTCTCAACATACCATACATCTTAATCAAAGCAGAGAATGCAACTGTCCTAACAGGCCATTTCTCATTTTTCGCATCATCAAATAATTTCAAAGCCATATCAACATTACCCGTGCGAGCATAAACATAAATCATAGTCGAGGACACATTTAGATCCGGCTCACACCCGAAAGAAGGCATCCTCTCAAACAACTCCACAGATTTATGTGCCAAAGAACAAACAGAAGCACATCTAATCAAACTCGAAAAGGTAGCCACATTAGGCTTGACTCCTCTCTGAAGCATTTCCTCAAACACCTTCTCTGCTTGTTCAAAATCATTAATTTCCCTAAAAAGGTTAAACAACGCATTGTAAAGAATCACATGTCTTTCCGGTTTAATCTTCTTCTGGAAGTATTTAAGAGCAAGCATTGCAATTTCAGGGTTTGTTATTTTATAGAGAATACGCGCTGCATCACGTTCTGCAATACTGTCTCCCAAACCCTTGAGAATTTCAAAAAGTTGTTGCTCATTAGGATTGGACGAGGGTAGTTTGGCGAGAGATGAGACGGCGTTATGAGATTTGCTCCAACCTCGTTTGGAACTGGGGGTTTTGGGATTGACCCAGATTTTAGATTTGGATAAAGGTGAAGAATTTGAATGTGGGTTATTGTGTTTTGCATCTTCAAGAGAATTGGTAGGTTGGAAAGAGAAAAAGGTTTTGAATTTGCGGCTGGTGAAAGAATGTGGGGATGAAATGCGAGTTGTGAAATCACAGAAGGTGGAAGAAGAGGAGGAACAGAGAGGGTAAGCATGAGCCATTTTCGCTGTATGTTTGGGAAGAAGAGAAGAAGATGGTGGAAAATTGAAGGGTCAAAATTCATTTGAGTTTGAGTTTTCAATGGGTCAAATTTGGATAACACTGTGTGTGAGAGGCAAATGTAGTTAGTGGTGTAAAAACTTAAAGTAAACCATGAAAAACTATTCTAACACTTCTCATTAATCGGTGTAATGTTGATTGAACTTGGATTTAATAAATGATTATGAGAAATGCTATTTTTACAGGAATGCTACTATTACACCACATCCTAACACCCACTTTCTACACCGTATACACGGTCTGTTGTAGGTGAACAGTATTTTTTTATTAAAATAATATATTTTTAAAAATATTAATTTTTTCTTTTTAAATATTTTTTTTTAAAATTTATTTTAAACACAAATATAATTGCGCATTAACCAATTTTACAGTTGCATTAACCACAAAAATCTACATCATTAACCAATTATTTTACCTATAATTTATTAACCACTTTTACTACTTCATTAACCAATAAAATACATATTATTAACTATGTTCTGAGAAATTTATTCACGTATTTGTGAACAGTAAATTGGGTGTAGGGTGTAGGAAAGAATGTAAGAATAGCATTTTTCTTATTTTTATACCAACCTATATATTATACCGTATTTTATTATTCATCAATACGATGAACAGTAAAATATTATAATAATAAAATATTTTAAAAATATATATATATATATATATATATATATATATATATATATATATATATATATATATATATATATATATATATATATATATATATATATATATATATATATATATATATATATATATATAATTTTTTCTTTTTATATTTGGACATCTGTTAATCAATTTTATAATTTTATTAACCAATTTTTTATATTACATTAACCAACTTTACTTTATTTTTAAAAACTATTTTTATATCTGAATATTTATTAACCAACTTCAAAACTTCATTAACCAACATTACATTGTATTAACCAACTTTGTTTTACTGATAAAAATTATTTTTAATATCTGGATCTTTGTTAACCAACTTCATCACTATATTAATCATTTTTTTTTTACATTTCATTAACTATTACTATTAAAAGTTATTGTTCATATATTGTTTGCAAACACTATTCATGAGTACTGTTCACACATATGACATTGTTTACATGACACTGTTCACACCACTGTTCATGTACGATTTTACTGTTTACTATATTTGTGAATAATGCATACGGTGTAGGTGTATGAAGGGATGTAAAGATAACATTGTTGTTTCAAAATATGTGGTGTTTTGTAGATTTGAGATAAAAGAAGGATTGCTACTATTTTGTATAAAATTAGATCAAAAACTACGATGGTTGAGGTTTATTGCCACAAGAAATGTGTAGAAGAAAAAAATTTACATTCACATCGAATATATAAATTGATAATTGAAAAAATAATTATGCATGTATATAAGAAAAAGATAATCATTTTAATTTTATTTTTTAATTCTAAAATTTTCACTTATCCAAAATTCTGACCCAGTTACATTAAAATTTGTGTTAAACCCACTGATGTGGGTGCTCTTAACATTCAACATTAGATTTAATTTATAACCAATATTAATAAAAGAATTTCTTATGACACCCTATGTGTTTCTTATACACTGTGTGGAGTTTCTATACTGTCTCTAGTTTTCGGATATATATATATATATATATATATATATATATATATATATATATATATATATATATATATATATATATATATATATATCGGACGCACCATTTTCACACGCAAGGAATGTCATTCTGAATGGCGCCTCATACAGTTGCTAAAGATTTGTTTCAGAGATATATCTCTGAAACCATACCGTATTTATATTTTCGGAACAAAACTAGACACAGAAACAATCCAAGATGAACTTTCCAAAAATAAAATGAGCATTACAATTATTATTTCAACAAAAAATTAAATATTGCATTTCAATATTCCGGTGGACGCTTGCACATCTCCAAGATATCATCGACCGATCTTCGTAGTGCCGCTTCCAACTCGAGCAGAACTTTCTCTTCGAAACCAAAAAACGTTTGCCATATCGCCATAATATCCGCTCGAGTCTTGAGCTCAAATTTGATGAACACAATGTTCCCTTCATTGTCAACCGAAGGTGAATGGTACTCAAGCTTGACAACCCTTCGTGTGTCTTCATAAGGTAGGAGATAGTGGATTCCGTCTATGACATCGTCGAGGGGGTGAAATTAGTGAGCTTGAACGTCCTCCTGGGTGTAGAGCGATGGAGTATAAGACACTTGTGACATACCAACAGATGTTTACTTCACACATTTGAGACATTTTGAGTTTGTGTGAAGTATAACACAAGAACACCCAAATTTATAGAAGACCTAGTTTAATAAGGACCACTCATTGATTATCATTCATACTACATATATATATCTCCGGAACAAAACCCTATTATCTTGTTCCCGATATGCATCTCTGGAGCTTTCCCTGAACCATTAAAAAACAAAGCAAATAAAAGAATCTTCCAGAGATACATCTCTAGAACTTTTCCTGATACATTTTCAAAATAGAATCATATGACAGAGAGTTGAGAAACACCAAATATGCACCAAATATGAACCAAACATGTATAAAGACAAAATATGAATAATAGGTGAATATGTAACATTTAGTTTATATTGAGCCACACTTATATACAACTATTTGTCTGTTACAAAACAAATCAAAACGAATCAAAACATGTTTCGCCAGATAAATCTATAGGTGGTACCCTCTTTGACTTTTGTGCATTCGATTCCTTTTCAATGTTGTTCAATCTATCAAATTCTTGCATCCTTTATATAAAATGATTTGGCCACGTCTCGACATTTGCGTTTGAATGAGTCGTCCATTCCGGTGACGTAGTTGGTATAGGAAATCCTGGTTTCAAGTAAACTTGAGCAAAATGACTTGATTTTGAAAGTCATCCAATACACATGATGCGATCATTTGGATTTTGGGGTGGTACGGTGCGTAGTGGAAAAAAGGTTTTCGAAAACCCGTAGCGTGTCAGGTCAATGCACGCCCTATCATATGTATATGCAATTAGGTGACCCATATCTGGGAAGCTTATCCATTTTGACTATGGTGTCGGATCGCTCAAGCAAGGAACAAGTGATTCATAAACCACATCGAAATTTTCTTTTTTTCCCGTACAACCACGTGTTTGATTCCTTATGCGTCTTCAACTCTTGGATAAGTTGATGACGAAAAAGCGCATGACTATCTTCTCCCTTACCAAGTAAAGCTGAAACGACTCAGTAACCGCAATTACTGTCTCCCGCAACATTGACGATATGATTGGTATGTTTGTGTATAAAAACCAACATCTCGTCAATGAATGAAATCTTTGGTGGAAGCGACGTCGGAGGTGGTTTTCTAATTTTAGCTCCTTTAGCAACACTTTTTGAGATTTTAGAATCGGTGAGTCGGGAAAAACTTTGCCAATGTGTTTAAAGTATGAAGGAGGTTGTTGCACCCCAAAATTTGACCAACATTTATTTACCTAGCTTGTGGTTCATCTCATTCATCATCTGCATTTCATTGATATATGTGCAGTAGGTCAAGAGGTATGAGTACTAATCAAGACTGTGAAGCTAGCCAAGAAGGTTGTTCAAGTGTTCAAAGGTTGATACCTTTGTCAGAAAACTCAAGAGATCCTCAAAAAGATTGGTTGAAACCAAGGGTGCATGCCTCATAACTTGAGAGTTGTGGGAGCTCCTCAGATGATTCTGAGACTATGAGGATGGACTTAAAGCTTTTAGAGAGCTTATGAGATGTATTGAGAGCCATCATGAAGCCTAGAGAGGTCATTGTACAAGAATGAGAGGACTCAGCCATGAGTGGTGGAATTAGGGTTTGACTGGGTCAACCCTAGGTCAACTGATGATTTGGAGAGGGTTGAGACCTAATACAAGGGCCATGTGATCATGGATTGATGCATTGAGATGCTATAAGGATGATTCCTAGACCAACTCATCATGATTGAGGAGTTTGAGAAGTTTCAAGCTAGGGTTTCCAAGGCTTGACAGTGTAAAATCCCCTAGTTTGATCCCTATCTTCAAGGCAGTTTAGCTCAAGATGTGATTGTCATCTCATCTTGCCCCCAACATGAATGTTGTAGAGCTTGCTCTTAGCTTTAATTTGAGTACTAGAAGTCCTTGATAGGATTTGTAGAGCTCAAGTTATGACTTTGACAAATTACAGGTCATCTGAGGTATGTGAATCTGGGTCCTTGAAAGTCACCCAACTTGCATCAAACTTTTGCCCTAAAAGGATGATTCCTATGAATTCTTGGTCAACATGAATGTTGTTCCTCATCTTCTTAGATTTCTAGAGAGTACTAGAAGTCCTTGATAGGATATGTAGAACTCAAGTTATGGCTTTGACAAGTCAAGGGCATTTTGGTCATTTGGACATTATAGGTCATTTCAAGCATAAGGCCATATCTCCTATTTCCAAGCTTCAAATGGAAAAATCTTCAACATCAAACTTGCTTAAAATGATGTTTTAAGTCTAGTAGGGAGGTCATGAGGTGTTGAAAAGGCTTGTAGCAAAAAGTGATAGAAATGGCCTAAAATGGAGGCATAAGTTAAATAAGTTCAAATTGGAAATTGGAAATCCCAAGTTACACATCCAAACCATGTCATATAATAGGTCATTTTGACTCTAAAAGACATTCTAAAAACAATGGTTCATCCACTTTTTTGAATTGAGGCCTAGATCATGGGGATGCTTTGGAAATTGCTTGCTTGCATCTTAAGGCACAAATGCAAAACTTAAGAAAATTCAATGTACAAGTTAGTTAAGGGTTTTAACACACCATATATCTCATATGAGGGGAATTTCAGGTCAGAATTGGTTGCTACAAGGGCTATGGCATAAGATAGCACATGATATGAATGAATTCATAAACTCATGACATGAGAATCCCAATTTCTCATGG